CTTTTATGACTTTTTTTTTCTCCTTATCTATTTGTAGATAGCAGTTGCTCAGGTTAAACTTTTTACAGACTCTTCTCTCTGAAGCAAGCAAGTAATCTGAGGCCATGTATTCTGATAGCTAGCACTGTGCATTTTCGTTTGGTTTGGCTAACAAATTAAGAGGTTGGGCAATTTTATTAGGTATAATTTTTACAACTGCTTGCAGTCTGATTATGTGGTTTAGCATGTAAATAGGGATGCAGTAGCCCCAGGACCCATCCTCTGCACAGGTGCCGGGGCCATAATATTGGATTATATGCTCAGGAAGCCATCTGTCATCTTTCCAATTGCCAATCTGGAGAATGTTTTTTGTTTGTTTGTTTTGGGTACCAGGGATCGAACTCGGGGCCTTGCGAACTCAGGACCTTGCGCTTGCCAGGCAGATGTAGCGCCACTGAGCTAAATCCCCGGCCCCGTCCAATTGCCAATTTGTAGGGCACACTGTCTTTGGGTCTCTCTGTCTCCATACACCTGGATCCTCAGATGTTTTCTCTTAATGAGAAGAAATAGGAAGAAAGATGGATGGATTGTTCCTAACATCAAGACCCTGGCGAGCTTGGTGAGATACACTATAGGCCATTCTTTTGCATATCTAATATAGCCCACCCAGGGCCGCCACTTGATGTCTGTGTCAACATTAACTCAGGCCCCTCCTGAGGATTTGGTTCAAGGTGATCTGGGGATTCTCCACCATTGGGTTTCCCAGGTGGTTGAGTTATAAAATCTTTGGCCTAGGCCCATTAGGCTTTTTTTTTTTTTGGTACCAGGGATCGAACTCAGGACCTTGCCCTTGCAAGGCAGGTGCAACTGAGCACCTGAGCTGATTCCTGGTACTGAAAACAATAACAACAACAAAACATAAACAAGGGCAATCAGTCCATGTGGGCTGGCGAGTCTGTATAGTGGACTGCATCAAGTCAATCATTGCCTGGGGTTTCTCTGTATATGAAAGGATATGATTCTTCCAATTAAGGAGGTCAGTGGTAGTGAAGGGTTGGAACACTAACATTTGTTCACCTCCCTGGATTTTCCGTTGTTGTTTTCGGTACCAGGAATCAGCTCAGGACCTTGCGCTTGCCGGGCAGGAGCAGCGCCGCTGAGCTACATCCCTGCCCTCCCCCTTTGGTTATAGTAAAGAGATCCTCACATCTCTCTAAGCAGCATCTGCTTGGTGCCTTGGTAATGCTCAAGGGTTGGGCCGCCAGAGGAGTCCTCCCGGATGGGTGCTCTCAGGCGTGTGAGGGGTAAGAATGGGCGACTTGGGGAGGCTGCCATTCGAGGGGTCTCCAGGAAGGCCTCAGATGCCACTGAGGAAGAGGCAACCTCTGGGCGGCTGACTAGCTCTGGTTGGCCCTCTGCAGCGGGGACAGCAAGTGGTGGTGGTAGTGGTGAATACAGTGGGGCATATGGAGGTGGGACTCCTTCTGGATCTCCAGACAGAATAGGTTTATTTGACTTTGGCTGACATTTGGAACTGGCCATCAGCCTAGTCATCATCACCCTGTTATTCCCAGTGCAGGCTTTCAGCCAAGGTGGGTGGGACAGAACCAAGTCTTGCCAACAGTCAATGTAAGGAAATTGGTTGGGGTGACCCACATCCTCCACAATGACCCTGAACACTCAGTTAACTAGTTCCTTATTAAGTGAACCCTTGGAGGGCCAGCCAACCCCAAACGATGGCCAATGAGCTTCACAGAATATCCAGAGTTTTCCAGGAGTTAGTTTAACACCATAGTCACCTGAATATCCCTTTTTAAAATTCTTTAACATACGCTCTAGGGGAGTCATTTTACTCTGCTTTCCACCCATCTCCTCCCCGTAGTGGACAATTTTCAGGCACAAGAGAGAAAAAAGGGCGAGAGGAGCTGATATGGAGGGATGCATACTTGCTTTCTCTGTCTCTTGAGCTATTTCAGGTGCCTCTTAGCACTGGTGGGCTCAGTAATCCCTGGCATGGATCAGACTCTTGAGGAAGTCTGACACTGCCATCAGCATATGAGGGCACAACATACCGTGGATCAAGACTTCACATTTGCTTTGATCCAGTTGGAAACTTTCAGATGTCTGTCTCATTCACATACAAACACACAACAATTCCAACCTGCTGCCGAGTGTCCAGCACCCAACACCTTAGAATTGCATTTTCAGTTTGGATGAAACGAACTCTGGCAGCCCTGGGAGGTCATTAGGCTCTCCTTCTGCCTCTTAGGAAGAGGTATACCAAAACGAACTGGGGCTCTTACCAGTCTGATGGACGGTGCTCCCTACGTAGTTCCTGGGCCTCATCAGGTTCCTCTGTGCATCTGAGAGCCCTCACCCTGGTGTGCCGGGAGGGGCTAGTCTCCTACAGATCACATGGTCCACAGGTACCAGGTGAGGTCGCCTCTCCTGGTCCCCTGAGGTTTTCTCCCCAGCAACAAGGGAGGTGAAATGTGGCCTCTGCATACCAGATAAGCCCCCAAGAAATGTAGCAGGATTCTCAAATAGAGAGACCTGACACCAAGGCTCTTTCTAGGCAGGAGCATCTGTTCATGCCGGCACTGACTAAGCGGATTCACATCTAAAGGCTGAGCCCCAAACATGGAGGAGTTTTGCCTTTTATACAATTTTTGTATCTTTGTCTCTCTTATGTGGTAACATATGAACAAGCTATAGCTGGACTGGGTACAATCTATGTTATACAGCTGTGCTAGGACTACACGTGTATACATAGGAACTAACTGTGCCAGTTGTCTTCCTCTGTTCTGAGAAGGCCTGTGTTTCTTTGGGAGGGGCCTGGCCACATTCCTTTGAGAGGGGTCCTGCCATACCATCACCTAATTAAACTTCTTTATACTCTCCTGCTTTTTCCTTACTGTCTCATGGCATGTCCAAGTCTCTGTTCCCCCAGTACAAGAACCTAGAAACCTGTCCCTTCACCCTTGGCAACCTAGCTACAACCCCAGATGGAAGAGGTGCCTGTAAAGAGGATTTAAGGACCTCAGGTTGGCCCAGACAGGTCCTTACCTCTCATCACACAGAAAACTTTCAGCATGTGTCAATGAGAAACACAGGCAGACTTAAGAGGTAGAATAGGAAAGAAGGGAAAATGAGGAGAGACAGGCTGAAGGTGCTAAAGAGCTCTGATGGAGATCACACTGACCCCTTAACGTAGGAACAGGACCCGCATTTAAGAGTTGGAGTGGGCTGGGGTCTGGTTAATCATTACGTCAGTTTTGAATCTGCAAGATGGCTCTGGGAGAAATCCTTGTCACTTAATCCAGGCTCATGAGATACTTGTCTCTATTAGGGCCAGTCTTAGGTTTGCTGAGATGGGTGTGGGTTTAGGACAGTGACAGTAAAATTCTGGGCATTCATGGGTAATTGAGAAAGTCTCCATAAATCTCTTACCTTGGTACCCTCAGTCTTGCAGGGTGAGATAGGTTATGTAAATTTAGGGCTAATCAGCCTTTTGTAGTCAGTTTTTAGACAGATACTCCCTAAATGATGAACATGGTGATATGCAGAGCTGAGTAGGGACCTGAACCAGTCTTAAGGTAATAAAGGAATCAGAGATGAAAAGGTCAAGCTTTGTTCTGTTTTTAGTTGCCCACTGAGCCACACTAGGCCCAAGGAAAGTGTCATTGTTTTTATTTTTGTTTTTTAGCAAAATCAGCTTTTAAATAATAACAGGTTAAGAACCTGAGGATTTGTCTGTCCTCTGTCCCTTTCTGTGTGTGATTCCCCAACAGCTCATTCTCTTTTACATTTTTTTTTTTTTTAGTACCGGGGATCAAACTCGGGTCCTTGCGCTTGCGCAGCAGGTGGCAAAACCACTGAGCTAATCCCTGGGCCTTGTTTTATTTTTTGGAGACAGGGTTTCAATATGCAGTTCAGGCTGCCCTTAAACTTACTATGTAACCCAGGCTGGCCTTGAACTTTTAGCAGTCCTCCTGCCTCAGCCTCCAGAGTGCTGAGATTATAGGCATGGGCCACCATATTCCATACTTTTAACGGGCCCAGGAGTGCCCTGGCTCTTGTCCCCACAGTGGTCTCTCAATATAATTGTATATTTTAAAACTGTACTGCCAGCAAAGGACACACATATGCGCGCACGCGCGCACACACACACACACACACAAACACACTCACAGTCTGCACTGCCTTTGCAAGAATTTGTCTCTCCTACACCATTGCCAGTTGGAAACATTTTGTAGGGGGATAAGGCCATCTCTCCTTTCTGCTGCTGTCTGCCGGACTCTCTTTTGGGTGGCTCATCAGCTCCTCCCATTCACATACCACGCCAGCCAACGTGCAGCTGCCCCCAACCCTTCAAAGCCTAGGCAGCCAGGCAAGGTGTCCCTTGGTGAGGGGACAGGACCAGATCCAGGAAGCCCTGCTGGCCCTGCTGAGGGGAAGCACAAGTTAGCCTGCGTCCTGAGCAGGCAGGAAACTATACAGACGATCTCAGCCTGATCTACTCTCACCCAACTACTGTGTGGGATTGGGGAGGGGACTCTGCTATGGACCCACAGAGCCTGCTGCCTCCCTGCTTTGCTGCTTCTTTCGAAGGGAACAATTTATAGAATCAGCAGTGAGTCACTGGTGAGTCACCCCATGAATCAACACCTGGAAGGTAGAAGCTGCCCCAATCTGGGAGATGAGGCTCTGATGGTGGCCCTGGCTGACCTGAACACCCTACTCCAGCTTGATCTGCAGGGGATGGGCTTCTCCCTCCCAGTCCCACTTCCTGCTTAATTTCTGCTGGCTGCCTCACAGGAGGGTGCTTGGGGAAGGGACAGGCGAGCTGGAGGCGCTGAGGTCAGAGGTCAGAACGTTGAACCCCAGGTGGAAACCAGGGGTCAGCTGAGCCCCAGGCGGCCAGGACAAGGTACAACCTCACTTCATACCCACCTCCCCTGACTTTAGCCCAAACTGCACCCTTGCTTTCCAATGTCACCATACATGGGGAAAAAACAAACTGGAGAATAAATAATTTATTGAAAGTGAAGGAATAAATATATGGGCAAGGTTACAAATAACTGTAAAAATCATGAACACATACTGTGTATTCAAAAGGCGGGGGGCGGGGGGTCACGGTGTGTTCGTGACCGTCCCAGATCCCGCGCGGACCGCGGGCGCCCCCAAGAGGTAGATAGTGTATTTACAACGGAGGAAGCCGCCAGTGGACTCTGGAATTCTGAGGGCCTAGGAGGGCCTGGCCACCTAAGCGCCTGGGCTGCGCGCCCTTTGCCCATGGAGCTGAGCCCCTTGCACGACCCTCTGAACCCAAGAGCGGTGTACGAGAAGGCTGGTGTAGACGCCTGGCCGGTTGCGCTCTGCACAGCCCTCGCCCCAGCTGATGATGCCTGCCAGCAGCCAGGCACCATTGACCTGGCACATCAGGGGACCCCCGGAGTCGCCCTGAGGAGGGAAGGGAAAGTTAGAGACCTGGATGGGGCAGGCAGTGGACAGAGGCTCTCTTTCTCCCGGGCTCAAATCTCCAAGAAAGACGCACCTTCTAGACCCACTTGGAGGGAGAAGCACTGAGCAGCCCTCCCCCACTGGCCTGTGGAGCTGGGTGTCTATTTCTATATCACTGGGGAAAAAAATCGAGGCTCACAGGGAAGAAACCACTTGCCCCAGCTGGCAACATGGGCCTCACCCTGGCCACGGGGGCTGACCACTACCCTATCATGCCATCCTCAGCTGCAGCTGGTTCTGGGGACGCTCTCAGAATGCCAGTTCCCCCAAGTGAGTGGCATGGCTGTGTAGCACAGGACACAGTGGATGTGCATGCAAGTACATGAGTGGGGAGCCAGGCTGAGGTAGGCTGTCCTGTGGACAGGACAACAGGGGTGGATACTCACCATGCAGGCATCCTGCTGCCCCTCCAGGTAGCCAGCACACAACATGTCTTCTGTGATGGCTTCCTGCCCTGCTCCACGCCAGTACAGGTGGCTGCAGACCTCTGAGTCAATGATGGGCACCTTCAGCTTCTGCAGAGTCTGTGGGTAGGGTAGGGGCACTGGGGACAGGAGGAGAGAGTCAGAATGGGCCCTCCTAGCTGCCTCCTCAAAGGCCCAGTGCTCTCCATGCCCTTCCACAGTATTTCTCAAAGACCAGTGGATCAACTCTCCCAAGATGCTTTCAGAAAGCCCAAGTGCCAGATTTTTGCATCTGGACCTACTGATTCCAACATAAATGTGCAGCCCAGATTCTGGTGGGGCTTTTTGGTTTGGTTTTTTTTGGGTTTTTTGTTTTGTTTTGTTTTGGTACTAGGGATTGAATCTAGAACCTTCATACTGAGCTACATCTCAAGCCCTTTTATATTTTGAGACAGTCTTGCTAAGTTGCTCAGACTGGAATTAGAGGTGTGGGCCACTATGGGTGGGTCAGATTCTGTATCTTTATTAAGCTGATGCCCACAAGATAGCCAGCCAGCCCATGTTTCCTGGCCCAGAGACTACTTTGTCCAGCACTTTGTCCATTACTTTGTCCAGGACTGTAGTGTTTGGTAAATGTCCCTTGGATACTGAATATCTTTAGGACATGCAGGAAATCGCTCACACACACACACACACACACACACACACACACACACACACACAGGCTCCTAGGATTAGTCTAGAGCTACCATGGGAAGGCTGCAACCTCAGATCCCTGCATCCCCTCACACCTGACCTGGTGTCATTTCTGCTATTGCTTCTGGACTCTGTAGAAGTTTCATTTTCCTCTCTCTTTGCCTTCATCGTGTTTCTGTCTCCCTCAAACTGTCTCCAGGCCTTTACTGTGTCGCTTTTTATCGCTCCTTTCTAATTGTTTTTTTTTTCTTGGCCCAGACTCTGATACCCATATGTATCTTTTTCTTGCTTCTCTTTTGCCTCTTGCTTTACTTCACCTGTTTTGTGTTCCTAGATGATGATTTCCAAACCTACAGACTTAGTTTGATTGATTTGTTTGTTTGTTCATTTGTTTGGTTTGGTTTGTTGAGACAAGATCTCAATATGCAGTTCAGGCTGGCCTTGAATTCACTGTGCAGCCCAGGCTGGCCTCAAACTCACAGCGATCCTTCTGCCTCAGCCTCCCAAGTGCTGAGATTACAGGTGTGTGCCACTACACTGGCTTGGTTTGAAAATTATACTTTACAATGCGGGAAACTTGTTTCCTCCTGGGAACTCTGCCTACAAATGTGGCATGCTGCCACAGGGAGGGGGCCTCGCTCCCACTGTGCAGGCTTAAGGCTCATTTCACTTTCCACTGGCCTTAGCTTGGCGCCACACTGGCCTCCCAGCCATTCCTGGGTCAGTGATTAGCTTTGTCTAGCTGGCTGGCTAAAACACAGCTGAAGATATTTTTAAACTAGAAATGACCTAAAAGTAGCCACCTGGGTTTCTGTGAATTCGCATCTACAGATCAAAGTCATCTTTTCTTGTCTCTGCCATGCTGGGCCTCTGACAGCTATCTCCTCCTGCTAGTGGTATCTGTGTCTCTGATGTCTCCCACCCTCTGTCCCTAACCATCTCAACCCTCACCCTGAAGCAGGAGGAGCTCACCTCCATCACTGATGCTCCCCCAGCCTGCAATCCAGCAGCTGGTGTTGGGAGGGAGCTGGACAGAGGAGTCAGGCAGGCAGATAGGCAGGACTCGCTCCGAGAACTGAATGGTGTGTTCGAGGCGCACGAGGGCAGTATCAGCTCGGGCTGCTTCCTTCCAGGAGTACCAGGGGTGGGGCAGCACCCAGGCAATGCCCACCTGCTGGGACCGGGGACCCGGGGTCTCCAGTTGCCAGGCCCCCAGCAGCACAGAGAATAGATCCAGCTGGTCCAGGTCACTGGAAGGAAGGGAAGCGGGGTCAGCCAGCATGAGTCTGGAAGAAGTCATCGGCCCCAGCAAGGACATGGGGCCCTGGGCAGCAGGACAGTCTTCTCAGCAGTGCAGGGGGTAGGGAGAGGTATCTCTACAGAGGGCACCCGGCTGAGACAGAGACCTGGGGCTGCGTGGGGGTCTGGGGCTAGAAGCCTGGGTCCTGGTGATCCAGGACAGCCCAGTCACACATACCCCTTGAAACAGTGGGCTGCGGTGACCACCCAGCGGTTGGTGAGCAGGGAACCTGCGCAGTGGTGGGTGCCATTCTTCTGGATGCTCACTACCCAAGGCCACTCGGCATCCACACTGTCCTCCCCACCCACGATCCGGTTCAGCTGCTGGGGCTTCCCACAGTCTGGGGCTGCTGGCAGAGAGGGTCGAGTTTTCTGTCACTGCGGGCACAAGTGCCTCCCACCTGCCTACACCTCACCCCAGATCCTCAGAACTGTTCCTGCTCTGCGGCCTCCTCGGCCTGTTGTGCCCCTGCCCTCCCCTTGCCCGCTATAGCCCTTTCTCCTGCTGGGGTGGCCTTCCCCACCCCCTTCCTTAGCCCCGTGCCCTCTGGCCCTGTCTGCCCACAGTCTTTTCTGCCCTCTGGCTCCTTTCCTGCATCTCTTCCTCTCCTGCTCTGTCCCCTCCCACCTCAAACCTGTTCCCACACAGACCTTGGCTGCCCTTAGGTCCCCACCCTCAACCCCCCAGGCCGGGCTCCCACTCACCAGGGATCTTGGCAGCGTCAAGGGGGGCTGAGGAAAACAGGGGGAGAGGACTAGGTCAGGCTGGCAGTGCAGGAGCCCCCATCCTCAAGCAGGATGTGGGCCCAGAGCTTAGCACCTCAACCCTCACTGCGCAGAGGTGGCCTCCCCCTTCCACCAGTTGAGTGACGAGGGACAGGAGAATGGGGAGAATAAGGCACAGGACCCACAGCCCCAGGCCTCAGCTTCCTCTCCCAGCTCCCTGAGACCTGGACAGGGCTGCCCCAGAGCACGGCCAACGGACCCAAGGTGGAGCACAGAGGAGCAAGAGGAGATGGGGAGAGAAACAAGAGGGAGGAGACTCAAAGCTGGTGACAACAACTGTGAGAAAGAAGCACACTGAGCGTTCACCTGTGCTTGTCACTAGTCCTCACGGCTGTGGGGGGAGACTGAAGTACTGCTAAATAAGGTGCCAGGAAGAGAGAGAGCCCAAAGGAAGGTGATGAGAATGGAAAGGGGCAGACCCTCTCCAGGCAAGGCCCAGAGGGAAGGTTCAGAGCTGCAGGGAGAGAGGAGGTGACCCTAGAGAGAAGAAGAGGGCAGAGGAGGGGAGGGAGGGGCACAGGGTCCCCAAGACTCACCTGTGGAAACCAGAAGCAGCAGGGGGATGAGGCTCCCGAGACAGCCCCCACCCAGGGCTTGGAGAGATCTGGAAACCACCATGCTGGGGCGGGGGGCGGGGGGGAGCGGGGCCCAGCCAGTGATCTTGAAGGAACAGTGATCTTGAGGGAACTGAGGGAACAGAGGCTGTGCTGGTGGGGACTGGCAGGAGGGGAGGCAGGGAGGCTATAGTGAGTAGAGTCCCTGCAGGTCACCCCAGGTTTTATCCTGGCAGGTGGAATGCTGTTGGACTGGTCTCCCAGGTGGCTCAGTCTGGGCCACCCAGGCTGTGGGTCACAGAGGAGGTGGGGCCATGGGGAGGAAGTAGCCGTTACAGAGGCTGGGGGCTCTGTGCTTCTGAGGGGGTGAGGAGCAGGTAAAAGGAGCTGGGCCTGGGGGCCTGGGCTGTGGCCTGGACTGTCCAAGAGGGCACAGAAAAGTCCTCAGGACATTGAAGGGGGTCCAGGCTGGGGAGAAGCCACTCTGGAGTAGCTGAGGTTTGTACCAGGTGTTGGGGGCTGGCAAAAAGCACCAGCTCAGTGACGACGGCTCCCACCTACAGGGGCCACACTGCTGGGGCTCAGACTGGGACGGACTGGGCCCAACCTGGGGCTCTGGAATCCCGTTAACCCACTTCCCAGAAGGCTGTGACTCAGACCAAGTGGTCACGCACAATGGGTCCCGGGCTAATGGCCCAGACATCCCGGGACACCTTACTGTTGTCCCCAGGATGCCCAGAGGACCTGACTCCTCACCTGGATCCCTGAGAAGAGGAGGAGCCAGTGGCCACCTGGGCAAGGCCAACCCCAGTGCCCACAGCTTGTGGCACTCTGAGGGCTACCTGAGAGGACTAGGGCTGGGACCTCCATGTCCTGAGACCCCAGGGGCTTCAAGAGCTGGGGCCCAGGCTGCCCTGTGGGGCTGGGTAGGGCAGGTGCCAGCTTCCCTGACTCACACCCTGTGCTCGTGACACCCCTACCCCATCCAGGAGCAGGTGTCACCTCCCAAACCTACAAGTTTCCATCCATTCCTGCTGAGCAAAATGTCACGCTGCCACCTAGGAGAGCGTAGTGCACCCTGCAAATTCCCTAAGCATCTCCACGCTGCAGACAGGAAAATAAGGCATCTTGGGGAGGTTGAGGTGAGAGATGGAGCCTGGGTTTGACCCTGATCCTGGAATTATGCTGTTGGGCTTAGACTCAATGGACCTCAGTCCCACAGGCAAGTCATTGTTGTTGTCCATGGTCACAAGGGCTGGGGGAGGAAGCAGAGAAGGCACCAGAAAAGCTGCCAGGAAGAAGAGGCCATGGACACCCAGCCCGAGAACAAGCCAGAAGGTATGGGAACATCACCAGGGGTGAAGGGGAGATGGGAGCAGAGGCTGGGAGAGAGATGGGACCACTAAGCCCAGCCCTACGTCCTGCAAGGATGTAGCTCCATGCTTGCTACTCCCATGCTGCCCACCCTCTCCATCCCAAGGGCAGGGTAAGAATCTGCACCAGCAGCCTTCCCCATAGTTCAGGTAGGCAAAGCCTCCTGCTTGTGCTGGAGGCAGCTCCAGGTCACACAGCAGGCTGAAGGCCCCACCACCCAGCAGCACAGGAGCCCCTGACGCCCTCTGTCCAAGATTCTGGGTGTCATTGCAGGAAAGCACCATGCTGAGAGGCCGAGGTGAGGCCCCAGTGGCATCCGAGCAGAAACACCACTTGCTCCCTGGCCAGCGCTGCCTCTGCACCATGCCAACCATGCCTCCATGCTCCTCCAGCCCTCTGAAAAGAAGGTGGTTGGTCTCCCCAGCTCCCTCCACAAACACTCTGTGGGCACTTGCTGTATACACACCTTGTGCTGGGCACCAGGACATGGGTTCTGTGCTGAGGAAGCTTACATCTTCCCCAGGAGAAAGCCAGGTGACCAGCAGTGCGTAAAATGTCCTGGAGGTGGCAAGCAATGGGATGGGGGAGTGGCACAGATGCTAGAGGGCCACTCTGTGCCCTGTGCTGTGTACTATGTGACTCTTTGAGCCACAGGTGGTGTGAAAAGGGGCATTTCCCATGATCCTCAGGACTGAGTTTGGTGCCTGCTGCACACTGGGTCTCAAGCAATGTTTGTTAAAAGAATAAATAAGTGTGGAAGACACAAGTATGAGGGTGTCCTCTTCTCTCTGCCCTCCCCAGTTCCTTCTCCACTCCTAATACTTGGCCCATCCTCTGGGGACCCAGGGGGCAGGCATGTGCCCCAAAATGTTGCAATCCTTGAGATGGGGTGGCCAGGAGAAAGTCAAGGAGAAGGGTCCTGCAGCAGTTGGAAGAAGCCCTGAGAAGATGTCCTGGCATGGGTCCTAGAGAAGAGCCCCAGAGACTGGTTCCTCGATTTCCAGGGTGTGGAAGGCACAGTCCCCAAAGGCTGGGGGTGGAGACCCCGGCATGACTCAACATTCATTCAACAAGATGTTTACGAGCACCTACCACACGGCCAGCTCACACGGGCACCCTGGCTGGGCATCGACCCACTGTGCACAAGGTGGATGAGCTGCCCACCCCTGCCACCCACACCATGTCCCCACCAGCCTGGCTGAGGGCCATTGATCAATTCACACTGAGCTGCTGATGACTGATGGGCCCGCTGGCATTTGCATGCTGACAGCCCAGAACTGACACTAAGCCAGAGAAGTGACTCACTACAGTGGTGGTTCAGATGTGGGCCCAGGAGTCGGGCCATGTTTTGAACAAGGGTATCTATTCATTATCCAGCCAAAGGCCACTAGGCACCACCTACTCCTGCAGGAAATGGTGCTTAGCCCTGGAATAATCAAAGAAAACGAAGGGACTCCTTGCCCTCATTCAATCAAGAAGCATTACTGAGCACCTACTGTGTGCTGGGCACTGTCCTGAGCTGAAGAGACACTGTGGTGAACAAACCAAGGACATTGGATGAAACAGAATCTTAAAAACAAGTAAATCAGGAATGGGGATTTAGCTCAGTGGCAGTGGTCGTGCCTGGCAAACGTAAGGTCCTGAGTTTGATCCCCGGTACCAAAAAAAAAACCCAAAAAAACTCCAAACAAATAAACAAGTAAATCAGGGCAGATATGTTGGCACACACCTGTAATCCCAGCACTTGGGAGGCTGAGGCAGGAGGATCACCATAAATTCAAGCCAGCCCAGGCCAGGCAAGTCAGTGACAGTGAGATCCTGTCTCAAAATAAAAACCAAAGGGGTCTGGGGATTTAGCTCAGTGGTTCTGCCACCTGTGTCGAAAGTGCATTTAGCTCAGTGATTCCGGTGCCGGCCTCACAAGCACCAGGTCCCAAGTTCAAGCCCCTGCATGAAAAAAGAAAAAAAAAAAAAAAAAAGAGATAGGTCGAGGATGTAGCTCAGTGGTGCCACACCTACCTGGCAGGTGCAAGGTCCCAAGTTCGATCTCTGGTATCAGAAAAAAAAATTTTTTAATTTTAAAAAATAAATACCAAAGGGCCTGTGGATATGGCTCAGTGTAAAGGTCCTGCTTTCAATCCCCATTAAAAAAAAAACAAAAACAGGGGCCGGGATTTAGCTCAGTGGTTTCACCACCTGCTGCGAAAGCACAAGGACCCGAGTTCGATCCCTGGTACCAAAAAACAAAAACAAAAACAAAAACAAAAAGCTCACTGCAGAGGCCAAGGATGAAACAGAGGACATTCAGGCCAAGGACAGACAGTGGGTAAGGGCCCTGTGGTGGGGAGAGGGGCTTGTTCTGGACCTTTCCCTAAGAGGAGACCTGGGAGAGTTGGGCCTGAGGGGAACTAGGATCCAGATGGAGGGTGGGGCCACTGCCTTGGGCTGCTGAGGCGCCCACAAGGCGATGCCCTGTAGTCAGAGGCCACATGGGCAGTGACCCCTGCAGACACCCCTGCTCCTCACGGATCCAGCCTCAAAGACACAGCCTTAATGCGAAATGGATGAGAACCAGGACAAAGGAGAGGTGCAGGAGCCCAGGGATCTGCTGGAGAGAACATTCCAGAACAAGGGACTGGCCAGCCCCGGCAGGAAGCCCCTAGAAGACCTGGCCATGAGGCTCAGAGATGGGACACAGAGCCTGGATACTCGGATGTAGCCACCAGCCGGCAAGGTCCCCATGGGCCCCGGGAAGGAGCCTCTGTCCTGGGGCAGGGAGGTGCCAGAGTCTGACCGGGATTGGAGTCATAGAAAAGGACAAGAGAGACAGGTGTGGAGGGTAGGGTTGTGTCCAGGGAGACACTGAGGCGAGGACTTCCTGGGGACCCTGGAAATGGAGCCAAGTGGCTGGCCAGTGCCAATGAGCAAGTTGTTCTAGTGTTCCCAGGACAGATGAGCTTCTCAGGACAAGGGACTCTCAGTTCTAAAATGAGGACATTCTCAGGTGAACCGAGAGAGCTGGTCACCCTAGGTGGTACCTCTGCCCCGAACCCCGGATGACAGGCTCCTCTTCATGGCTACCCAGGAGAGGCAGGCAGAGCATTTCAGGTCCAGTCCCAAGCTGGAGATTTGGGGGGTGGGAGATGGAAGTGACTTGGAAGTCACTTGGATCCCCTACAAAGGGTCACGAACGGGAGAGCCATGTAGAGATACAAGCCAAGCAGAGAGCCGGCAGTGTGGAACTGGCCCTCTCTTCTGCAGTTAGATGCTCATAAAATTCCACACTGGCCAGGAGGTAATAGCTGTGTCTTCTGCAAGGAAAGGTTGCCTCACAGCAGGCTGGAGGCAGAAGGCAAGACATGGAACCCTGGGTGTGAACTGGGTTTGAACTCTGGGCAAGTTGCTTGGCTGCTAGAAGCCTGTTTCCTTGTTAGGTTTAGGGGTTTGTTCTAAGGCCAAGGAAGAACCAGGTGTGAGTCCAGGCCTCCAGTGGGCCTTTTGGTCTTTTAATTTTTTTAATTTTTAATTTTTATTTTTTGGCTGTTCTGAGGATAGAACCCAGGGCCTTGAGCAAGCTAGGCAAGTGCTTTACTGTGGAGCTATACTCCAGCCCTGATTTTGGAGTTTTTAGTCGGGCAAGTCCTCGTTTTACAAGTATAAATTTTGAATGATGCCTGCTGTGAACATGCGAGAGTGCACATTAATATCTGCAGCAGCATTTTCACAACTGCCCAAAGTGGAAGCAACCTGTATCTAGCAAGAGGGTACACAACACGTAGCCCCACACGATGGAGTAGTACTCAGACATAAAAAGGGATGAAGCACTGATGTGTG